GAGCAGTCATGGCCTATGAAGCATTGAGTCAACAACTTTCCATGGTGTATCTCACACAGCAGCCATAGGCCGGCATGATAATTATTTCTACTTTACAGATGAAAAGACTGCAGAGATTTGGAAAGATCAAGACCTTGACTGAGATCAAGAGCTACTGTAAGATAGACATCCTGCCTAACCCAGGCAAGTTTCTGTCTGTGCCAGACACTGCTAGCTAATGGAAACCAAAGGAGTCCATTATTCTTCATGCCAGAAAAAAGAGCATGTGGGGTGTGGCATCAAGACAAAGTGCTTTGATTTTGTCACTTGCCTTTTTCCTTCTACTTGCCACTGGAGACCTTGCTGTCCTCTACATATGGACAAAACCTATCTTACCTGAAGCAGGAATGTTTTTCAGGTTAAAATCAAAATAAGAAGACTTTCTACAAGTGTACAATACTCAAAGGCTTCGCCAAAGTTGTAACTCCCACAGGGCTTGCTACAGTAGATACAGAACTTCAAGGACCACAACTTTTGCCTTTTATTGGATTCTTCCACCCACCCACCCCACATACATACACACATACACACATATACACACATGCACACACACATACACACATGCACACACACATACACACACGAACATACATACACACATATATATACACACACACACATACAGACACATATACACACACACATACACACACACACAGGCTAATAATTGCTCTGAAGTTAAATGTGCCTCACAAATACCACTACGTAGAACCTTTTAGGAATAAAGGTTTTAGATACCACAAGGATAGAATGCAAAACATTAATACTTTACATATTCACTCCAAAAAAGAAATTCACTGGACAAGTTTAGCTAACAGAATTATACAAACGGTCATGTCTTCATTGTCCTACACATACCATGACTATGTAGGATGTTAATATTCAAAGAAGCTGGGCAAAGTGTATGTGGAACTCTGTCATGCCTCTGTAACTCTTTCCTGGATCTAAAGTTAGTTAAAAATGAGAGGCTTTCTAAAAAATGTAATGGACAGTCTGGGCAAGAGACTCCCTAGAGCACCCTCCTAAGAAGAGGCTTTAAGATAGATACTGACGGAATGCAGCTGAAGTGAGAATCTTGAGTTATCTTCACCAATGAAGTATCATCAACAGCAGCTCTTGCCCAAAGCCACAAGAATAACATCTTACAAACCAAGACTGTAACAAGAGCGAAACAAAAAAGAGACTTTGGTCATGACACTTTACATCTGGGCCATGAATTGACCTTCTGAAGGCAAAACATCATGGTGACCGGTGTGCAGGGAGGGTGGGGGGAAGTGGAAATGAGCGGGGGACGAGCAAGGAAGAAACAGGGAGGATAATGAATGAGAAGCAGTAAAGGGGGACAAGAACGAGTCCCTCTATTGCGTATCTGGGATCACGGAGAGAAGCCACGCATTCGGGGAGCTAGCTCGATAACACGAAGGCACTAAGAACCTCGGAGCACCGGCTCTCAGTATAAGGAACTTTTTTTTTAACTCCCCCCTCCAAAAAAAAGTTTCAGAAACACCCATCTAAGAGTTATTAGATATAACCAAAGCATGTCAGAAGAAAGTTTAAAAGACGCTAAAAACATGGACCACTTAGGGCCTGCAGAAAACGCAGGAAGAAAGTTTTGAGGAAGACTAAATCCAGCATCAGAAGCACTTTCAAGGATTAGGTCTCCTACTCATTTAATCCTCATTCCCAGAATCAGACAAAAAGTCCCGTCCAGTTCAGAGGATTTCTTCTCACACATGAGGAAGAAGTTCTTGAAAAAACGGGTGATGGGCCGGCGCCGCGGCTCACTAGGCTAATCCTCCGCCTGTGGCGCCGGCACACCGGGTTCTAGTCCCGATCGGGGCGCCGGTTTCTGTCCCAGTTGCCCCTCTTCCAGGCCAGCTCTCTGCTGTGGCCAGGGAGTGCAGTGGAGGATGGCCCAAGTGCTTGGGCCCTGCACCCCATGGGAGACCAGGAGAAGCACCTGGCTCCTGGCTTAGGATCAGCAGCGGCCATTGGAGGGTGAACCAACGGAAAGGAAGACCTTTCTCTCTGTCTCTCTCTCTCTCACTGTCCACTCTGCCTGTTAAAAAAAAGAAAAGAAAAAAAAGAAAGAACGAACAAACGAACGAACGAACAGGTGAGGCCATACCTCAGCAGCTCACCAAAGGTGCCTACCACACAGTTTGTGAGTGTCAGCACTGAGAGAAGAGACTGTTTCTCGCAAGAATTTGCTATGGACCTGCCTAAAGCAGGAAGGGGGAACCACTGGTTGAGTGAGGGTCTTCTCCGAGTCCTGGAATCAAATCATACACCATATGAAGCCACTTTTTCAATTCTTTGTAGCTGCTGCGGGGGAAGCAGGCATCGTGACCCTGGGACAGAAGCACCTGTCACTTCATGAAACCCTGACATAGAAATTCCCTGGACTGGTCCATTCCAGAGATGTTCTAAGGACACAGGACTGAGAAAATGCAACTCAGGAGACAAGCTGATGTGTGACACGAAGGTTCCATCTGTTTTCCACTAAGACAACGGAGGTAAACTCATGAGAGAATACATCACAGCCCCAGACCAGAATCTGTAGGAGACGCCACTGCTCCCACAACACTTTATCTCCATTCACATCCTACTTACAGTCCCCATACTTGGAGGAAGATTTAAGATTTTAAAAAAAATCTGTTTTCAAAATTTATATTTTATTGCTCTCATGAGCGAGAAGAAAACAGAACAGTCCAAAACATGATGTCTGCACATTATTGTTTTTAAACTACTGTGATAATCTCATCGTTCTCATCCCAAACAGCTTGGAGAACCACTCTCCACTTCATCCCAGTTTGTCTTCCATTTATTTTGGCGGCGTAATTTTGTCAGACACCCAAAGGCTTTCCCACCAAGAAAACCAGGATTTGCTGAGAAAAATCTGTTTGCAACCCATATCAGTATCCATCAGAATCAAAGACAGCTATTGCAAACGTCCTCAAACTCTTAGAAGTACCAGAGTCGGGCAAGGGGTTAACCCAGCTGATTTTCTCAGTTCACTTAAGAGAAGGATGCCAGAGAATTTTTTAAGGTGAACACCTGGAGGGAAAAAAGTAGTATTTTGTTTCCACCTCAAGAAATTGCAGACAAACATGAAGCAAATCACAGCACCGGAATACTCAATTATCTGAACATGCTAATTAACTAAATGTAATCAACCTGCTCCCAGGCCTCTCTTCACCTGCAGTAATATTTCTGGTGCCACTGCCTTTCTTATTCCTCACAACCGGTCGAACGTTAGACAATCTGCATGGTGCATCAAAGGGAAACAAATAAGCACGGATTTTTGCTGATGGCAGGAATTTCTCATGCTCAGGCACATGAACCAGCAATATGGAAATGGCAGCACTGCCTCTATATTTTAATTATTCTCCACACCTATTGTACAAAAGAGACTTAGGGTTCAATTAGGAAATATGATGCTCAGTTATGGTTATTTCATAGAACTGAGCACAGTCATTGAAAGTGGTAAAAATGCAGTCATGACAGAATTAAATATTCATGAAATCAAGAGCGACTGGAAAGCTGAGGATATCAGGATATTAAAATTCATCATAGTTTTCACAATGTAAATCTTGTATGCATTTGTAAGGCATCCCGGACGGGTCTAGCTTGTGTTCAAATTCCAGTTCCTCGGTAGACTTCCATTTAAATAACAATATTGATTTGGGTGGATAAACAACAGTCTTGAATTGTAGCTCAGTTTCAAAATGCAAAACAATTTTTTTTGAACATTTGCAAACCCGAACTTGTTTAAGTGAGCCTGTCTCCGAACACAAAACAGCAACACCCAGTGTGATTCCAGCATACTCCAGGTATCCGTTTAACCCACTCAGGAACGGCCCCCTGGAAACCAAGGCAGCCCCCGACAAGGGGCACTTGAGAGGGGATGCAGGTCCTTTCCAACCAGCACAAGCGCCCATGTTCCTGTGCCCAGCGAGCGAAAGTGACACTGACTGACTTCCTCAGTTCCAATATTCTGATTTGCTGAACCAACTTTTCCCCCAATATCAGCAGCCAGTTTCAAAATGCATTAGCAAATACACGTGTACACCTTATCCAGACACAACTGAGCATCACTGGCTCCCACGAAACTACACTCCAAGTGTGTCTCAAGAAGACTGCCTGGAGACAAAGCTATAATAAATACACTCTACGAATATTACCAAGGCATTATTTTCTATGCCATTTCCTCTACTTTGCAATTTTCTCAGCAGCAGAAACATCAGCCCCAGAGAATGGCATTTGAGCCATTTCTTGCTGGAATTCAATTACCGGAAGAACTCCTGTCTCCACAGTAAGTAGCAGCTACCCCCTGGTCTACAATGACACAGCAGGGCTGCAAGGGATGTGCAGGCTCCTCTGTGCTGCCAGGCACTTGGTCCCTGCCCTCCCAGGTGAGGAGGGGGCCCTCTGCCTTAGAGCTGGCTTCGGCAGAGCTCGCCATCTGCAGAGGAACCAAACTTTGCTCCCATTGTTACCGTCCTTAGGTTGATGTCACCTCCCTCCAAGGAGTCCCAGCGGCCACTCAGCAGCTGCTGGAGACATGTTTCCCCCAGCCCTGGAGCACCCAAACAACGCCTCGGGTTACCCCGGGGAGGGCAGGCTGAGGGCTCAGCCCTGCTCCCCCCCACCCCGCGGCGAGGCGCTGCGCTCTGCCCCGAGCATCACCCCGCATGCACCAGAAGACTTCGCTCTGCACACCCCGCCGCACACGAAACCAGGGCAGGCGGACTTCCGCACACGCCTTGCAGTTGGGAAAGTCACTACCGCGCGTGGATTCCCCTGAAACCCCACGCCCGCTGCACGGCGGCCGCCCCCGCCCCGCCCCCACACAGACGCGGGCAGGGGGCTGGGGGAGCGCAGGGGTTAAAGTGGCAGCCACCGCTCGAGCGCCTCGGCTGTGCTCCCACGGTGTCACCGCGCCAGCACGGCGGACCTACCTTGCCCTCTCCTCGCTCGCCGCTGGCTCTCGCCTCGGGATCGTCGCTGTCCTCGGCGCCGGCACTCTCGCCGGGCAGTTCATCCTGAGCCAGCTGCTGCGGCGGCGGCGGCGGCTGGGGCTGGGGCTGGGGCGGCGGTGGCGGCGCCGGGCAGGCTCCGCCAGCCCCCTGGGAGCGGGGGATGGGCTCCGGGCGCGGAGAAACTCCCTCCACATCCATCTCCATCTTCCCATTCACTGGAGGGCAAGACAAAAGCGGAGCGGAGACTTGGCAGCGGCGCCCGGCGGCTCCTCAGCTGCCCGCGGCACGCATGGCTCGCCGAGGAGGGGCCGCCTCCCGCGCGCCCTCCCTCCTGCCGCCCTTCGCCCGCGCTCCCCGCGGCTCCGGCACCGGCGGCGTGCGGGCCCGGGCGCGCGAGGAGCGGCGGGCCGCGTGTCCTTGGCGCGGTGGCCTTCAGGCGCCCCCGGCAGCCCCGCTAGGCAGAGCGCATCCCGGCGGCGGCGGCGGCGGCGGCGCCTCCCAGCCGCGCGCCCGGCCCCGGGGCTGCTCCTCGGGGACTTGCTCTCCAGCCCGGCCTCCCGAGCCGCGCCGCTCGCCAGCGTCTCCGGGGGCCCCCGGACGCTGCCCCTCCCTTCCAACCTCCTGAACAAAGTTCCTGGAAGAAGCGGCCGGTGCGCCGCCGGGGTTGGCCCGGCCCAGCCGGCAGGGATGGGGAACGCCAGGTGCAAGTGGGCTCGGCCCGCCTCGCCCGCCGTCCGCGCGCCGACCCTCGCCCTCGCCCCCCGCCCCGGCGCGGCGCGGCGCGGCGGAGCCGAGGAGAGCGGGGTGCTCCGACCAGCGCGAGGCGAGGCGGCGGCTGGAGCGGAGCGCGCCGGGGCGGGGGTGCCCGCGGCGGTGCCCGTGGCCGCTGCGCCCACCCCCGCCCCCGCCCTCCCGCGGCCCCGGGGTCAGCCCCGCCGGGGGGGGGGAAATACAAGGGTGATTTTTTCAGTTTTTTTGTTGTATCTTGAGCTTTGAGGCCCCACCTGGCTGGAATTTGCCGCCAAAAATCTACTAACTTTGTCCCCGTCGGGTTTCCGGGTTGAAACCGGGGCGGGCTGGGGGCCCGCGGGGGTGGCGCCCGCGAGCAGGGAGGCCAGGTCGGCAGCCGGGGGTCGGTGCGGGCGGAGGAGGAGACGAGCGACGGCGCCGCCGGGCGTCCGCTGCAAGGTGCCCGGTGCTGGGCGCCGGCTCCCGGGGCTGCCGGTAGCCCTGCGCTAGCCGGGCAGGTCTCCGGGAGGCTCCGCGGGGTACCCCCGGGGGCAGGCGGGGAGCCGCGTCGGTCCGTCCGGAGACCGTCCGCTGGCCGGGGTGGACTCGGACATTCGTACGCCCGGGCCCGCCGTCGGTCAGCTGATCCCGGCGACTCCCGGACTGAGCACCGCTGGGTCCTGGGGAGTAGTTTGCAACTTCCCCGGGCACCGCTGCTGCAGCGCCTCACGTCCAGGAGGGCCCTGCGCGGGTCGTTAAGAAATTGCTTGATATTAAACAGAGCCCATTGTTCTGGGCTTGGAGTGCCGTAATGCCCCCAGATGGATCCGCAGATAAATGAACTAGCCTTGCATCTCAGCGGAGGGTGGCTTTCCCCCTCAAGTGCAATGTATCACAGAAAACACTTGCCTAATGAAACTGGAAAATTGAAGTGTTCGTCTCAGGTCTGCTTTGCATAAACTTGAGCACAACTTTTCCTTGTCTCTAAGACCCACCATCCCTACAGACGCGAGCTACACTGGAACACATTAGGTACGGCCCTTCCATGCAATCTCTTATTTAATCTCTGGTGGCCTGTAAAAGTGACAGAAGTTAACTGCCGCTTTAATCGGTATACTCAGGCAACCCGGGTCACACATCGTGGCCGTGCTTTTGGAGAGAAAAAGTTCAGAGACGAAGTTACTCATTCTCTGTTTCCTTCCAATTTCTGAACACTGGATTTCGGACTCATTTTCTACAGTGAGAGCTTGTTAAAAGCTTCAGTCTGCGATTCACTGTACTTTTAAATGGCATTATATGATCCCATATGTGGTAATGAACCAGACCAGAAAATAAAGAGCTATGTGCTTTCCAAGACACGGCTTACTCTGTTTCCTTCCCCAGTACGTAGTAATAAACCAACAATTCTTACAGGATTTTTTAACGGAGGATTTAGATTGTCATGGAACATGCTAAGCAAAGCACCCTTTACATAATGAGTGCCTAACACACTGTTATCCTGCCAACACTGGTTTGATAAAAATCCTCCTTGGGCATCCTCTGAAGACTGATTTAGGAAGTAGAAGCGACCAGTTCACTTCATCTTCACTTGAAATTTTAAAGATCTTTGGTATCTTCAGAGAATGAATCCCCGTCTGAAGACAGGAAGAAAGTCAATGGTGTTTTGGACAATGAAATTTGGAAATTTGACAGATTTTCACTTCAACAAGGTAGAAGTGAAAATCATGTCAGTTCAGACAGGAGCTGGAATAGCTGACTGGTGAGTTATTATTCTTCCATGTTTGTTACTTCTAAAATGTGTTTGTGAACCACTTCTGAGGCTTAAATGAAGATTAAATCAAGAAAAGAATAAATACTTCAACTAGTTCTAAATTAAGGCATGTGCTTTTAAAGATTCCTATTGTTAAATGCAAATATTTTTCCTTTCTTCTACCCCTCTATTTTTTGGGGACACAGTTTTTTTAGCATCTGTCATAAGTAAATATGGACTCAGAAAAATATATTACATTTCAAAACTGTTGATTGCACCTAATTATGCATGTAAATTGCTACTTCAAGCATGTAGACAGCTTGCAACAATTTGGAAATTTTGCCCTACTAGTCATCTGAGGTATTTGTGCTACTATTTTGCAGTTGCCTTAAATGACTCTTCAATTCCCCATTAATTTTCTATTAATGATGGGTCTTGAATAAGCTTGACCTTTTGCTGTCTCTATCGCAGATTACTCAAATTAGTAAATCAGCACTTTTCACAATATCACCCTTTTTCCCATTTATTCCAGGCCACTTGCTCTTTTGAGTCAGGGTGATGAGCGTTTACGATGCGTTATGGAAGAGTAACCAGTCTTTCCTACTCCAAGGAAGCTCCATGGACTGCAAGCATCCCAATACCTGGGAATTTGTTAGAAATTCAGTCTGGAGCTCTACGGAATGGATCTGCAAGGGAGTCCTACCGCACTCGAGGGTAAGAAGCTCCACTGGATTGTGTCACGTGGGTGGCCTTTCTACCTTGTAGTTCTGTTCAAGACTCACTAGTCCCTAAAATACCACCTGGAAGGCTGACAAGGAACACACAATTTCATGACTTTTTTTTTCCCTCAAGACATGGTATTCCCTACTCTCCCATGCCCTAAGATCTTAGTGCTGCATAATGAAAATGTTCATAAATTAAGAATATATCTATGCTGTATATCTCTGGTAATGAATAAGAAGTTTTCTAAAATCAAAAAGCATTAACCTAAAATACTAACTTTATCTTGAACAATAGATTTTATGCAAATCTATGGATCTAGTTCCTTCAAAGCCAGTTCATCCTCGACCTTCTGGATGGAACTTGAGAGTTCACAGTTTCTGTCTGCAGAGGTTGCCTGTGTCTTGCTACAGTGCAAGAAGTAGCTGACATGACGCTGTCTGTGCACCGACCATCTAATAAAATGTCAATAATTTGGAAGAAGTTTTGACTGAATCATGTACCCCCAATATTTTTGGAAACTATTAGAAATGTTTACCTTGGGGTATGTCTTTAAAGTATGTACATACATAGATCAGTAGCTGGTTGTTTTAAAAGTGTATCTAGCACAGGTCTCACCTTGAATGTATATGAAATCACCTGAAGAATGTTGTTAAAATGCAAAATGTGAATCAGCGTGTCTGAATTTGGGCCTGAAAACAGCATTTCTGGCAAATTTTCAGGGAAACAGTTGCTTCTGGTCCTCTGACCTAATAGATTTTCTTTCTCACCATCCGTGCTGTGTGTTTGGAAGGCAGAGTAACAGAGAGAGGGAGAGAGATCTTCCACCCACTGATTAACTTCCTAAATGGACACAATAGCCAGAGCTGGACAAGACAGAAGCTAAGAGGCTGGAACTCCATCCAGGTCTCCCACATAGGTGGCAGGGACCCAAGTGCTTGGGCCATCTTCCACTGCTCTCCCAGGTGCATTACCAGGGAGCTGGACCAGAAGTGGAGCAGCCAGGACAAAGAACCAGCGCTCCAGCTTAACCAGCTGCACCGCAATGCCGGCCCCCATCAGTGATTTTCAAATGTGAGTCCTGTGGGAAACTGTTTTAAATCTACACTGGAGTCTCTGTGGTGGGATCTGAGCATCAGTAGTAGTTAAACCTTTCCGAACAATTGCAATGCAAAGCCAAGATCAGGGCTCTAAGTCAGTGTTTTCCAAGTGTGGTGCCCAGCCAGCCACAGCAGCACCTGGGAACTTGTGGCAAAGGCCAATTCTACTGCACCACCCCAGACCTACCAGTCAGATACTCCAGGGGTAGTCTGGCAATCTGTGTCTTCAATAGGTGTGATGTTGGTGCATGCTCAGGTTTGAGAACCTGCTTTGATCAGATTCTCTGTGAATGCAAGTTAGGATCACCTGGGGAGTGCTAAAAAAAAAAAAAAACAACTGATTTTCCCCCCACCCACACAAACCCGCCACCGCCCATCAATGAAGAAGAATCTCTGAGGGTGAAATCTAGCATGGTAACGTTTAAAGTTCCCCCAGGTGATTCCAATTGTGCAGGCAGGGTTGAGCAACATTTCTATAGACTGAATTTTTATGTATGCAAATTGGTGTTTCCATGGAGCAGCAGTTTCTTCTATGCTAGTGGGGGGAAAAAACCTTCCTTTAATCTGCTAAAAAATGGAGTGCCTAGAAAGGTAAATTAGAGTACTATCCCAATTATCATAGATTCAAATTAGTGTACTCAATATTTTCTGATGATCCACTTTTTTTTTTCCTTCTTTGCAATGTGACAGCAGCTCCTGCCTTCTGCAGCAGGAATTGGATGTAAAACAACATCTGAATCAGTGGCTATGAGATGGGGCAAGGCACTAGCCTCCCATGACTGAAGGCTCCTTCATCAAGTTCCTTAGCCATCTTCAGGGATGGCACTGTAAATCAGGTGGCTCCCTTGAAGGATTTTAACATTTTTTGCCCAAAATGCAGTTTGCAGAGCACTAGCTTTGGCATCCGCTGGGAGCTGGCTATGAATGCTGATTCCCAAGCCCTGCCCAGATCTAGGGACTCCATTGGTGCTTCGCAGTTCCTGTTGATACATAGGCATATGGGAAGTTTGAGAGGCAAAGCTATGACACTCAACCAACAGCCTAACCTAACTCTTCCACCCCTTGGCTCTTCATGGATTTCCACTCATTCTGAAATCCTATTAGAACCCCTATGGGTAAAGTTCCAATTGATAAGAGGTGTGCTTCCTTCCCTATTAACCTTTCTGTGGTTAGCAACATTGACCCGTGGAACTTTCTGTAATGATCAAAATGTTCCTTATCAATGCTTTTCAGGAAGGAGCCACCTGCCACATATGGCTACTGAACACATGAATTACAACTTATGTGACTGAGAAACTGAATTTCAGGTTATTTCATTGTAATTTATTTAAATTTCAATAGTCTCTTGTGGTTAGTGGCTCCAGTGTTGGACAGCACAGCTCCGGAGTAATCATCCTTCCTTCCTGTTGCTCAACCTTTGTCCACGTTCCCCGGTTGAACATGGGGCCCCTCCTGCTCAGCTTTTGTATGTGTTAATCCCCA